TACTAAAACGGAGTGTTAGATAAGCTGGCATCAGTTGTTGTGTGGACATTTGTTAGCAAAGATATGGTGTATACGAGTGTCCCTTCACTTTGGACAGTCTTGTATTTATACAATGCTCAAAGCCTCTTCTTTCCGTAGAACCAGAGGCTGAGAACTGACTGATTATTCATGCAAAAGCTTGGTTTAAGAAACAAAATGACATATTATTAGATTTTGCTCATGTATCATTTATAGTTTCCTCTAAAATTAGATTTTATTTGTGCCAGTTACATTTACAGCATCAAAATGTGTATTTCTTTGTGTTTTGTCTCCTAAAGTTCACTTGATGTTCTGCATTTGAGTAGGAGCAGCCAGTTAATGAATGTTAACACTCGTATCAACAGTGGGACAGAAAGCTTACATTGTTATATTATTTGTGTAGCTGTGCACATGTGTGGCAAACATCTGCATAAATGTGTGTTTGTTTCTTTTGTAAATGACTGGTTTAATGGACAGGGGCGAGATGATCATGTTTTATTCCTGTGAAAGGTCACCTGAGCCCAGTTAGAGTCCTGGCTGGACTTTAAACAGAGCGCACTGTCTTCTCCTGCAGACGCTACAACATACTGGCTTCATAGCAACTCCCTTCTCCATGGCAACGGCCGTCTCTGTCGTCGCCGTGCAGCGAGGACTCGGGGTGAGAGCGTGCTGTGTTTCATATTCAACCAATGTCCTGCTCGGTATGTTATGTTCGCCCGTAATGTGGATTAATATTCATGGAAATTCAACACGAAGCTGACATTTTGTTATTTTGAGACAATTCTTTGCATTTTTATGTTCAGAAGGCTGTTTCTGTTTCTCTGTCTGGTCTCTACAGTCTATTCCAACCCTGTTTTTAGAGGGAACCTATGATGCTTTTGGGGGTTTTCCATTTCCTGTCGTGTGTTATAGGTTTTTGTACATATAAATACTTCCATGATATAGTGACATAACTAAGTAACACTTGTGATTCTATTGGCTAGTGCTTAGTTGCACGTGATAGGCTAAGGGTCGGGACATCTCTAAGTTGACCAATCCCAACAGAGCCGGCCAGCTAACCAATCAGAGCAGACTCTTTTCTGGTTTCAGACAGAGGGTGAAAAGAGGTGCTGCAACACAGGCAGTGTGAGAAAAATAAAGAGCTTTTTGAACATTAAAGCTTGGAGACATGTCACAGTAGAGGACGAAAATACAAATATGAACCTGACAATGAGCACAATATGGCCCCTTTAAGGACTTTACACAAAGCCTATTGAGTAGATACAGAGATAAGACTAATGGGACCATTATGGAGCATACTGATGCATTTGCTGTTCTGTACAGTCCATTTCTGTTATCACACATTCACATCAGGAGCTCCACATAGCAACTCCCCCGCCCGTCCCATCAGCCCTCAGCGCCGATTCAAAGGACGCCTTGAGAGGACTCTGTGGAGCCATTCGGGATATACGTCAAAACCATAAAGTAGCAGTAAAGTTGAGCGGGAAGATGTTATAAGTATGTAAGCTTAACCTCCTCAATTAGGTGGACATTATGAGGCAGTAAGAAAAACATAGGAAGAGGAATAAGTAGGGAATTCCTTTTTTTCTGGGAGGGTTTGGAAGGGGGGGAAAAACAGGAAACTAGCAGATAAATTGCAAATTACATTCCATGTGTGCTGTGTGGGTTCAGACTGTCGAGCAGAGGACTCTGGGGGCAGCAGCAACTGCATTGGGGTCTTTGTCCTCACGGTTCACAGAGGCTGGTGTAGGCTTACATCTGGGTCTGGGGAATACAAATGTCAAGGCAGGACGTTTTTTCCCTCTACTGTAACACAGAAGGGACTGAACATGAGCTGTTGTGTGAGAAAGGTATCAGCTTTTAGTAGATTTTGAGTTTTAAATTGTGGAAAGTCTACTGCCAATAGGGATTAACAATTGGCTGCAGACCTTAAACAACAGTGTGTTTGTTTCCTGCCTGTAAAGAAGAGCGTAGTTTCAGTATCAGCTGTCACTTTTCCAGAGTGACACTTTTCACATGTCAAAAGGGTCCCAGAGGGGTGAAATATCAGGTGCTCTCCAGTCCCAAAGGAATGTATCACATAGAGTAAAACAACCAGAGGTCAGATTTCTTGTATGTTGTTGTTTGCTTTAAATTTCTGTCTGCTAATATCTCTCTCAGGATGTTTGCTGGGTGTCGAGTCAGAGTGGTGAAGCTGTGTCTGGACCGCATGGATCTGCTCTGCGTCAGTGTGTTCCAGATGGATGCCCTGATAAGGCAACCACAGGATGTTGACACTGTATACACCGGCATGTTGTGCGCTCACCTTTGGGCTGAGAAAAGTGTGTTACCTGCTAGATAAAATTCAGAAAAACTCCACAAAGTTTAAGCCTGGATTAACTCTAAAATCATGTTTAACTGTAAAAGCCAGGGATTCTAAAGTCACAGACGCTGATGTGACCTCCATAGATTTCGAGGTTACAATCTGTAGAATACACCGTGTGTTTCCTCTTTTGCTATCTACATACTTCTTGTTTCCTGGTATCAAAGGAGAAGTTGCATGCGTCTTAGAAGTGTCGTTATATTTCAGGGGTTAGTTTTAGGGTGACACTGAAGCGCCGAAGGGTTTTAATTTCATGCATACATGTGTTCCCTTTATACTGTTGATATCGAATCTTTGATCATTGAACATGTACAGTATACTTCTTGTTTTCTGTTAGACAAAGGGAAGTTGCATGTGGTTTAGAAGTGACATTAAATTGTCAGGGTTAGGGTGACACTTAATTGGAAATTCCAATATAAATGCATATGTGAAAGAAGATATGTCTACCTTTCTCTTTGCATCGATGATATTAAATCTTTGATCATTGAACTTATCTATCGATCAAGATTGATGTGGTGTTAAGCACCAAACACATTCCTGTGAACACCTAAACAAAATGTAGTTTAGAGTAAGGTTGTACACTTAATTACATTTGTTATAGAAATTGCAATATTCAAATCGCAAAACGCTTATTTGTTTAAGGCTAAATATTTGTTGAATGAAATTCAAAATGTTACAAATAATGAGAATTAACATAAAAAAATGAGCAACCCCTCCAATATCATGAGGGATATTCATTAATATAATTGCAATTCGTTTTTTAAACCAATTTGTGCAGCCCACACCTCTTAACTGAGTCAGTGTTTCTTGTTGCACACGGGACGTTTTTTGCACTGGAATGTGTGCAGTGAACTTCATTCCCCGTGGAGCATTATTTCACCCGGTAACAGGGGAGAGATTACCTCTGGGTGAGAGAAACTCATGCAGCGAGAGGAGCTGCAGAGTGGGAGCTCGGCTCATCAATTAGAGGAGGTCAGCGGTGCCAGATGTAAGCCCGGAGTCAGCCAATAAAGCAGCCACGATGAAGGATCGCACATTGCTGTGAAGATACAAGCAAACAGGGAGGAGAGGGAGTTACAGCTGGTCTCTCGACACCAGGGGGTTCCTGAGAGACTCGGACCAAAACATGG